TAGGTGAAAATGTCTAGTAATACTGCAAGAGTTGGATTTAGGATTATATACATACCTATCTGTGGTAGGACAGAAAAAGACTTAATTTGCAAAAAAAATGGTGATTTTTCAACTTCAGTGTCCCCTCAACCTTTCCCATTGACTTGCATTAGGAACAGTTTGGGTTTCAGGTCATACTTTCCCTCTTTGTGCTTCATTCAAGCTTCCAGACAAAATACTGGTTGTAGTAGGTCAGTCCTTTGGCTGAATTGCACTCAACTTCTGCTTAGCGTGGGATACTGCTTTCCAGTCATTTGAAAAGAAAACTGAACGAGCACATGATGGAACACTCTTAGGCTGTGCTATTTGCAACCTGCCCTGCAATATTCCACCAATTCAAAGTCCTATTCCCTCTGCAAAAGGAACTATGAGATAGAGCATGCCTTGTCCCTTTATGCCTCTGGCTTCAGTCATTACACTGGATTATGGGTTGTCTGTTGTCACAGACGACAGACTTCTAATTTGAAGTATTGCAATAAGTTTAGCTTTATAAACCTGCTCAGTGTCCCAGTATGTTGTAGAACAAATGATGAATATGATCTTTTTCTGTGTGTTGGTGAAGGAAGCAGCGGTATCTCTGATACTGTTATAGTAGCATCCTAAAATTTTGAAGAAATTTGCCATGTTACTACACTGAAGTGAATATGAATCCTGAAGGTTACATTAATGCCTTTTAATGCCCGATTCCAATAAGTCAACTGTGTTCATTTATTCTGATATAGAAAATGAGGTAAAATTCTTCTAGAAACTGTGGAATAAATCTGCCAGAAACTGTTTCAAGTACTAAATATCAAGTCTCTTTGATAATCTGATTTTTTCAGAAAAAGTCCAGCATCAGAAGCTGAAGATACCAGAGCCAAGGAGTCTGGAAAGTCAACAACAACAATCTAGTTCTGGTAAAAGCTTTAGAAATCAGTTGGATCAGATTAAACTAAACGGTGTTAATGCCAGCAAAAAATGGCCAAGTCAAGAAATGACACAGAAAAGCTGCTATAGAGAGGTAAAGTAACAGGGATATGTAGTGGTTTTCTAGCTGCAGCAGCTTTCACATGTTGAAAAAATGATTTCTGCGTTCTTAATCGTGGCTCCTTGTGTGAAATAATACCATGCTTTGCCCCCTGTAGGGAA